AGTGCCCCTTGTGACTTGTCTCTGCACAGAGCCTAGGATGAAAAGTGCTTTCAAGTACTAAGTATAAAATACTCATTGGCAGGTTATAGAGGAGAAAGGTCTTATGGAAGGAAACTGAGGTAGGTGAAAATAGAGAGAAAAAGAGAAAGGGTAAGTCATTCTCCTGAACTTTCTCTCATGAAACAGAAATCCACACTGTAGAAGGGGAGAGGATCTTGCAAAATAAAAATGCAAAATACTGCCAACCTGTTTTCACACTGTATGTGAAAAATTGGTCAGTTTTTTTAAAACAAAACAAAACCCCAACCCCAACTCAATTTTAATCATGGGCATCTGGTCAGCTTTCTGCAATCCTGCCAAGTAAAGTCTGCCAGTGTAAGCTAACATTAATGCTTAAATGCTAGCCATAAGCAGGATGTATCCCATCTCCCAGGCCTGCCAGGCATCCCAGGAACTCAGCTACATAAGCAAGACTTTTCTGCTCTGCATAGTATAGAAATCTCATATATTTACAATTACAGAGTATATTTTGGTTAAAAGATACACTTACCTTAAATGCCATAAACTTATGATATGGTTTGGGAGCCCAGGCATAGATCTCTACAGCATTCTTTAAGGCAATCACCAAGAACTTGATTCTTTCATATTTCACTGAAATCAAAACAAAACCGATTTAAAAACATTTGTTTTCTTTCCAACAACACTGATCAACTTATGGCCAGGAACAGCTTCTCAGGCTGCCTCTCTCTTGGTTCTCTTCAGGTGAAGTGTCCACCAGATGAATACCAAATTTCTGCATGGCTATGGCCTGCCCTTACTTTTAAGAGAAACTGTCAGGTCAGATCAGAGCCTAGAGAACAAAAATGTATCCCCTTCCAGACATTTTTTTTTCTTGTGGAGAGGCCACTCACCCACTTTGTAGTGGATGCATCCCTCCAGGTCCCCAACTGTGATCCAGCCCTGCTTCTTCTCCACTTCAGGGTCGTTGTGTAAGATCCTGTTTCTCAGCCAGGACAGGTAGTAGACACGCAGCTTGTTCTTCTTTCCTGGGGGCACAGGAAATGTCCCTGTCAGAGCAGTGCACGTGTGCACAGCACAGCTTTCAGAGCTTATTTTCATTCATACAAAGATGAAATTAAAGCTTGTTTCACAATAAAGTTGAAAGCAGTAATTATTTTTTTTTTCTTGGGGAAAAAAAAACGTATATGGGACTGCAAGAGGATGCTGGAAGAGCTGGGCTCTTGCTCACTGGAGGCTGGGAATGTTCCTCTTCCTATCAATCAGTGTTCAAGAAGAAACATTTGGGCACAGTGGAGCTGTCACCCCAGCTCTCTTACCACTCAACTACCTGGTTTCTTTCCCTCTCTTCTCCCTCATGCAGCATTAATTCCTCCTTGGAGCTGAGACACGAGCTCCTTGGTCTGTGACAGGCACTGCTGTTTGCCAATGAGCCCAGAGCTGGGCTCTGCAGTGCTGAGAGGCTGCCAAATCCCTGCAGAGCCCTGCCTGAATGGAGGGAGCAGGAATCCCTAACAAGCATTTATCTTGCTGTCCTGCGAGAGCTTGGGGGCCAGAGATCACCAGGAGAAGGCTCTGTCTCAGCTCCTCTGTCCATGTGCTTCACAGGGCTGTTCTGCAGGGAGGATGCACGGTGGTCTCCTGGGAGAATGGACTACTGAGCTTTTTCTTCTATTTTTTTTGCCAGAAATCAGCCCATGAGCCTGATTTGAGAGCTTCAGAGCTCCTGGCTGAATTCAGAGACAGTGACAAACTCATGGCCCTCATGATGCCCAGGGCACCCTGAGCACAGCCATGGTCTGAGCTGGAGTGGAGCCCAGTTCATGGTTCCTTTGGCTACAGCCAAGCAGAGCCTCTCCCAAAAGCAGAGCCTGCTGTTCCCTCAAGTCATGACTACCTGCCTTGCTGGGGTACCTGCCTGTATCCTGCACCTTCCCTTGACTTGATGACCTTAAAGGTCCTTTCCAACCAAAGGGATTCTATGATTCCCTGCTAAAGGAGGAGGGAATGTTGCAGATGAAGTGGATCTGGCAGGAAATGGGAGTAAACTGCTCTTGGAGGTGTCCTTGCAGATCTGATGCCTTTGATTCCAGAATAAACCAACTCCAACCTCCCCTGGGAGCGGCGGGCAGGTTTTGTCTGAGCTGGAGCTGCTCGAGGAAGCAGCCAAGAAGAGTAAGGATGGGATGAGAGCACCAGAGATGTACCTGATATTGTCACGAGGACGTTAAGACCCTCAAGCACGTCCATCTGTTGAAATCGCCGTCTGTTGATCAGGTTGTAGACCTTCCCTTGCCCACTTCGATCCAGCAGCATCAGGCCATTTTCTGTACCCACCAGCAGATTCACACCTGAAGAGAAGAGGGCAATTGGGCACTGGGAGCCACAGCTGCCCCCAAGGACAGCTCCCTGAGCTTGGCCCTGCTCCCACCAAGAGAGTGACCAATCCCAGCTAAGGCTGGGATCTTCTCATGAACGTGAGGAATCACTCTTACAGCACAGCGACTCCAGGACATCAGCCTTGCTTGGGCTGGAGAAGGGGACAATGAGAGGCAGGGGCTTGGTTCTGTGAGCACAGCTTCAGGTTTCATGGCTGAGGGCACAGTGTGTTCAGGGCTTACCCCACAGAGCAGCACAGAGTATCTCCGAGTTGAAGCGCTTCTTGTATTTCCGGATCTCCGGGGTGTCACTGTGGGGACGGATGTTGGTGGGGTTGACGTTCACCACCGAGATCTTCCGGGCTTCATTCAGCTTGGCCTGCTCCTGTCTGAGCAGCTCGCTGGTGAACAGGGCTTGCAGGGAAACACAACACAACAGTGAGGTGTGACGGGTTGATTGTGTGCGCCTCTTCTGTCAGGTGTGGGGGTTTTTTTCATAGAAAAATAATACTGGGTTTATTTTCTGATGTCATCACCATGTTACAAGCTATTGGTTTGAAGAGGGATCATCAGGATTTTCTCATGGGTGGGAACGACCAACCTGTCAGCAGGTGATGTCCCCAGAACTCCAGCTCTGCCCACCAAGCTGACCAGGGCTATTTGCTGACCACCTTCCTACATCTACCCATTTCCAATGACTTCTGCACAACTTCCAGACTTTTGGAGCAATTACCACCTCCCAGTCCTGCCAGGAACATTTCTCCTGGCTGCCTGGCCAGATGGGTGGGTGGATTTTTGCTGTTCCCTGTTCTCTCCTGGACACTTCTGGTCGCATTTCACTCATGTGGGTAGGAGGAGTCAGACAGAAACTGGTGAGCACAAGGATGAAGACATGAGCAATGTCTGGACAAGTTTAGGTGAAATGTGGAAGAGGTTTAGTGGGGTTATTCAGTCTCTGTGACCGGGTTTCCATGAGGCCCTCCCCTCTCAAACTGGTCCCATTGCTTCCTACCAGTTGCAGATGACTCTTCATCCTCATCTTCATCTTCATCAGTAGGCGAGGTCTGATACACTCTGGTGTCCACAAAGGGGGTGAAAGAGGCCTTGGTGCTACTTCCCATACCATACTGGAACATAAAGAGCAAAGACAGCTCAGAGCACAGAAGCATCACTAATTTTGTGTATGCATATGTAAGACTTCCTAATTAGGAGACCCAGTGCCCTTTTCAAGCCCTCAATCAACATTTGCTTCTCCTCCCCTGTAACTCATCAGGGAAAACATTACATTTGATTTGTGAGTGTCCATGAGCAAGAGGAAACAAGAGGAGCAGGGCCTGGCTCTGCTCTCTCCTCGCAGCAGAAGCACAGAGATGGGTCAGCAGAGATGCTGCAGGGCCAGAGGCAAAAGTCAGTGCAGGCAGAGCCCAGCTTCTCTGCGTGTAACATGCCTGCCAGGAAGGGGGGCTCTGGGCTGCCAGGGAGGCAAGGCTTTGCTCTTCCCACTCTCCCACTGTGCAGCTGAGCTTGGCAGGATGGTGCTGGGAGTCCCCAGAGAGCCCCAGGCACTGACCAGTGACCACCAGAGCAATTCAGAACTGGAAAAGGTGGGACTGCTGCTTTCCTTCTGCCCAAGCCAAACACTAACTGGCACAGGACCTGTAAAATATAGGCAGGAGAGCTTATCCAGCTGATACCCTCTGCTTTTACCACCTGTTATCTAGGGAGTTCCTGGACACAGATGTCCCTGGGAAAATGGGAGAAGTCAGCTCTTCAGTCAAATGCCTAGTTTTCATCTGGCTGCTCCAGTTTTGGGAGGAGCTGAAGTGCTGGAGCAGGCCTGGAGAGATGCTTTAGGGAGGGCTTTGGGACAGTGAGTATTTGACAATGCCTTGGACACTCAGGCTGATGAGAAGATGGTATCCCTGACATAGCTCCATCCCTCCCAAAGCCTGGCCTTCAGCACACCTCACCGGGCCATCACGTACAGGTCGCTGGCAACTTCAATCAGGTGCTTTAAACTGTCCACAGCATTCCAGGTGGGACTGTGGAAGGGGCCACTTCTAAGCTAACAAAACTTAACCTGGAGGTATCGCAGGGAATGTCGCAGCCAATACTTTGCCATGAGAAACTGGAGAGGAACAAACTGCAACATCACGTTGTTTCTTTTTAAAGCCACTGCTTTGTTAAGGGAGAAAATGGGACGAGGACCTTCACCTCAGTGACATGGTTCTCCTGCTTCACTGAGCAGCTTATTTTTCCTACTTCAGTATCCAGTATATGCTTCATGTGCAGCCTCCATTAGGAGCTGTAAGAGCAGCTGGCCCCAAGTCATTCTGCAGCACCAGCTACTGCTCACATTTTTCTTCCTTGGGACATTCTCCTTCCCTGTGGACTATCTTAATCTAGGCTGTGCTTTTGCCAAGAAAGGTTGGACCAGATGATCCTTTAGGTTCCTTTCAACCTGGTATTCTATGGCTCTGTGATTCCTCAGCTTTTGAGTCACCAAGTCACCAGAGCTCAGGCTGCTCCCCATGCCCAGTGCCACCACTGCAGCCCCCCTGCTGACAACTGCCATGGGAACAAGCCCATGCCACAGGAACATGTGCCACGGAGAACCCCACCACTCTGACACATCCCTACTAAACTGGGCTGGTACCTGTCCTACAGTGAGGGAAAAAAGGTTTAGGGGCAAAAAACCCATGGGATGTGGAAGCACCCTTGTGGATCAGGACTGCCCAAGGTGACACCAAGGAGGTTTTGGGGCTGGCAGGAGCCCAGCTGGGTGAGCCAGCATCCATGCCCCATGCCTGCCAACACCATGCCATGCATCTTGCTTCCCTCTCAACTCCATGGCCCTGACAGCCTGCCTGTTTCCATAGAAACGGACGGATTTCCCAAAAGTACATGGTAACTGAGAGCCATGGAAGGAGTTAAGAGCCTGCAGCAGAGAAGGCGGCAGGAACAGACACCACATTTACGTGTGCACATGTCAGATAAGCTTCTTTACTATCCAAAAATTACACATTTTCTTTTTCCTGAGCTGGATTTCTTTTCCACAAAGCCCCAACAATTCAAGGAGGGGAAGAATTCAGTATTTACAGGGATGCTTTCCAGCTGAAAGTGATGTGCTTTCCACCAGATGAATTATGAAGAAACTCCTCACCCCACTGCACCAAGCATTTATTTTCTTTGCTTAGGTTCAGCTGTTCTCCTAAGAAGCTGGGATTTTAATAATTCCAAGTCCAGTAGTTAAATATTAAGATCTCATCTTCCTCCAGGTCCTGTTCAACTGCTTCTAAACCTCTGTGGTGGTCTGCAGAGACAGCATCAAGCTGCAGCAGGAGGCAGTCCTTGCTCCCTTCTTTTTGCTTGCAGCACCATGAGTCACCTGGAAGCCTGAGAACTAAATCCCCAAGATTCTCCTTACACCCACTCCCCACTCAGTCAGCCCTAAAAATGCAGTTTTAGAAATGTGAAAGATCTTCTTGGTTGGTATTCTAGAAATTAATATATTTAAACCCCATCCTTGCCCCCATTTCAGGAGTCCCAGGATGACTGTGGAAGGTGTTACTTTCAGGATCAAGTTTCTCATTACTGCTTTTAAAGGCAACGAGGAAACAGATAAATCCTTGTGGTCAAGTCACACACCATCTGTTCTTACATTTTATCAATGCACCATGTCAAGCAATTTTTATACTGATAGTAAAAGTAATTCTTGAAATGAGTACATAGTTTCTACGAAAGAGAGCATGAGGACAGAACTTTTGATGTATAACCAACAAAGTGAAAATAAATAAATTAGCTCATTTAGCACCAAATGGATTGATTTCTCCTGGAAAAGCAGAGAACTGTGTGCCTGGTTCCCACAGCTGGGGTTGGCAAGCAGGACACATCAATTCCCTTGTCTTATGTGTCACATCTTGTGCTTTCTAGGACTCCTTACAGCTTATACAATGTTAATGTTCAATTGAGTCCCTGTGAAACAGCTACCAGGGGGAAATACTTGTCATGGCTGGAAACACATGATTTTAAAGGTGTGCAAATTTTCTTCCTAGTCTGAAGAACTACCCAGAAATTTTCTGGCTTTGGTTTTCAGCAACCTTTTGAGTCACGTTAAGTGTCAGAGATTGCACAGGTGGAAGCTGGGCCCAGTTGAAGTGAAAAATAAAAGGGACTTTCACATCAGTTGGCAGCATCCAAGCCATCTCCACCAAAAGTGCAGCTGGTGGGCTTGAGAAAAGACCTAATAGGCATTTGTACCCTCAGCCATAGATCCATACAGCAATAACCCATCAGGTTCCCTTGTATTTCTGCTACACTCACCCATGTGGACCAGAAACAGAGAGAGAGAAGAGCCAGAAAAGCCAGGGAGGAAAACAGGAAAGTCCCTTTCCGGGGCAGAGATGTTAATGTTTGTTTAAAGCGATGCAAAGGAGAAAGAGGAGCCCCCCACCACCTACTTCAGGCACCGAGTCCATGTCCTGTGCATGCGTGGAGACTCGCCCCAGGGCCTCGGTCGGCGTGCCCGCCGGCGAGTGGCTTTGCTGCACCAGGTCAGGTAGATTGATGTGACCTGCAAAGCCATTGCTGGCTGCATGGCCAGAACGCTTTTTCTCACCAGAGGTCTGCAGAGACACAAGGCATGAGGAAGAAAGAGAAAGGGGGGAAGGGGGGGAAAAAAAAACAAACCAAAAAGAGAAAAGGAAGAGAAAAAACCAAACAAAACCAAGTCGTTGGCAGTTCCCCAGTTCCTAGAGCAAGCGCAGGAGAAGGACCCGCTCTGTTCCCATCCCCATGCAATCTGGCAAGCAGCAAACCAACCCCCCACCCCGGGAGAAATACAGACAGGATTAATCACAAAGTGAATACAGAGTCATTAGGCACGTTAGAGCGAGAGAAGCCTGATCACCATCGTTTCGAGACGAGGAACATAAGGGCAGATCCTGCTCTTGCCACCACGGGTGCAAATCCCATGGCCAGCTCTCCTCCCATGCAGCCAGTGGCCATGGTGACAGCAGAATCTGACCCCTGGATCAGCTTTAGCCTTCGTGGCTCTGCAGAGCTCTGGCCGCGAGTAGTCTGACTGCAAATGCCCACACAGCCCCTGCTGCATGTTTCTGTGACCCAAACCAGCAGTGAACAGCGGCAGCAGGGGCAGAGCTTCATGGCTGGCTCTGCACACCAGGCTCCCAGGGCTTCCCTGGGGCTCCCCTTCCTCTCCATCCCCAACTCTTGCAAGAAAAGTGCTGGGAAGTTTCTCCCATCCCTGCCTATCATTTTGAGGTGTCTGCCATTTTGATGAATCCCACCTACCAGGAGCACATCAATGATGGTGCTACAGAGACTTGTCCCTTTACTGCGATTAGTGAATAAGTCCCTCTGAGCAGGCTCACCAAGTTTCTGACTAGTCCTGACAATACTTATCTTTCCATCACTCGTTACCATCACCTTCATCCACCTTCCCATCCTGTCAAAGAGTGAAAAACCCTTTGCCCAAAGCCCACTGACCTCAGTGTCTGTCCTCCAATGGCTACACCAGTGGTTGGGTGCAAAGAATAAGCACCCAGCACAGGGCTGCAGTTTGGGATCTGCTACCTCCCTGCATTTCCAGCAACACCACCAGCATGTTCCAGCAACCCGGAAAATGAGGAACACTGGCAGAGGCTGTCCACAGCCTTCCTCTGCCTCCTGCAGCACCATCTACCAGGATTGCTCCCACTACATCCTGATCTCTGCAAAGCCAGAGCTGGGGACAGGGGTTGGCACCCAGGTGGGATGCCCAGTGTCCCCCACAGCCAGCTTGCTGGGTGAGCGCAGGACAGCTTGTGGGTGGGATGGGGGCTGTGGTCCTCCCCAAGCAGGACCAGCCCCTGGTAAAACCCTCCACATGCTCTACAAACACTGCCCATCTCTTACAGCTACATAGTGGCAAAGGCTGGGAAGAAGAGGAGAAGCTTTGGGCCAAGTTCCAAGTGTATTAACAAAATGCTGTAAATTGAAGACGTGTTGCCTGGAGCTATTGTGGGATTATGTCAGAACCATTTGTATGAGCATCCTCCCCACTGTGCCCCAGCATTACTATTCACTGCTGTTTGTAGTTCTGAGAAACATTTGCACTTGTCACATTTGCTCTGAGTGTAAACTGCATTACAAGAATGCTGATGAGCACAATTTACTCATTTTGTGTTCCGGACACACAGCACTGTTGGTTTTTGGGCTTACATGGGCAAAACCTCCTGAAGATGCTCCATGGAAATACTTGTTTTACAACTTACCTCCCTCACCATTAAAGTCCCTTCCCTTGAAATATTGCTAAATGTATCTGCATGGGAAGTCTCTAGCCCATGGGTTGTCACCATTCCCAGGTTGTATGGCTCATTGCTTCCAGGAATTCCTGTTGGTCTGAGGACAGAATGGAAAGGCATTAATGATGGATAGTATTTCCTTTGATAAACTAGATGAAAAATCCTCTCAGACAGTATTATTTCAATAAGGGTAAGGCTTTATAACTCACAGGAAGAAAAATTAGTAAATATATCCACTTAAATGTATAGGGAAATTGTTTATGTTGTCAGAAAGACAGGATCCAGGTCAGGTCACTAAGCTGCAGGCAGAGCACGGAGACATGAAGAGAAGGGCCTGTGTCCTCCAAGGTGCTGAGAGGAGCCCTTATGAAGAGATAATGAGGAGCTGCAGTCCTGCTCTACCACACATAATTTTTTCTACTTAAGGAAGTTTTTAAAAAACAACTCACTCCCTTTATTCCCCATGTCAATCCCTGAAAAGGGAACGGTGCATCAGAACATCTGATGACAACAGCCACCAAGGGAGGGGATGGGGCCCAGGGGAGGTGTGGGCAGGAGCACAGGTTGTGTCCTGTAGCTCTCTGCAGTTTTCCAGGTGAAAATGTAGCACTAATCCCTTATTTTGTTTCGAGCTTATTTCTGTGTCCCTGTTTCAAGAGAGAGGCTGGAATTTATGCTCAGACACATTACATTTTAGTACTACTTGAGAGCAGATGTTCAGGCAGTGAGCAGCCACCATTACTTTGTTATTACATTCTTATCAGACCAGCTGCTTAAATATAATTCAAACAAAGCCAAAAGCAAATGCTGAAGTGCCTCTGGATTCCCCAGCCCTGCCTGTGCCCTGGAAAATGCTGAGGGTGGTTATGAAGGTGTTGCTGGTGAGACCTGTCCCCCTGCAAGGAACAGCCACACAGACCGGCTGCTCCCCACTGGTATGAAGGAATTCCCTCTTTGACATGTCACCCCCACACACCCACGTGCCAATGCCCAGGCACTCATGAGGGAGCTCGGTAGCCTGAAAAGCCAAAGCAAGCCAAATCAAGGGGATTACAGGTCCAACTTGAGATGTGAGCCCTGGGGATCCCAAGGTGGGACTGGCTTGGTGATGGATCCTCGCCTGCATCCTACCAAAGGCACGACTGGGCAGGCACTCCAAACACCAGCTGCCATCCTCCTGCACCTTTCACATGAGGAGCTCACACCTTCCTGCCATTAGCTTTTCAACCCCATGCATTGATGAGAAAGTAACACAATTATTCCAGTTCTAGAAATAAGAAAGCAGAGACACAGGATAAGACCATCCATCACTTTGTGTCCCCATGGACAGGAGGAACTGTTTACTCCTTCCTTCTCTGCAGATACCTTCTCTCCATCTGAAGACTATGACTCCCTTCAGCTCCCTCTCCTCAGAGCTGTGCAAGCCACCTCTTGCTTGTGTCGAGGGATTTCTTGAAGGGTGAGATGGAAACTGCGTGCTGATGAGGTTTAGGACTTCAGGGCTACCTCATTCACTCACTCATTCACTCACTGTGCAGTCTCAAAATTAACATCAACTCCTGTGTTCCATGACCTCTAACAGGGACACAGCAGCATAGTCTGATTTTTCGTTTCAACATTTTCACCCACGACGTTTTGCTGCCTGCACAGTGACTCAGCCAAGGACAAAAATCAAAGGCAAAGATTCTGGATTATTATAATCCTGGCTCCACCAGCTGGCACTGGGCAGCCCACCAAGTACTGCACTTCAGCACAGCTTGATTTGGGGCAAGAGCTCAGAGCAGACAGAGCTTTAACACTCCGACCCCGTGGGCAGGACCAAGGTGTGGGTGAGGTCAGGTGTGCCCACCCTGGCCAAAGATCTGCCTTGCTCATCAGCAAGAACAGATCCATCAGCTCAGAGTTCACTGAATGTGCAGTGGAAATAACATTGATTTTTCACACAAAGCCTTTCCAGTTTGAGCCAGGAAAAAGACTAATCTGAGTAAATTATCCCTTGCAATCGTGACACCGTTCCCAGAGCCAGCCACCACACACCAAGGTGCTCTAGACATGTCCCATATCACATGTGCTGCTCCTCCAGACCAAGACAGAATCACACAATTTTTTGAGTTGGAAGGGATCTTCAAGATCATCGAGTTCCAACTCCCTTGCATGGGCAGAGACACCTTTCACTAGAACAGGCTGCTCAGAGCCCCATCCAACCTGCCCTTGAACACCTCCAGGGATGGAGCCCCCACAACATCTCTGGGCAGCCTGTTTCAGTGTCTCACCACCCTAACACTAAAGAATTTCTTCCTGATCTCTAAACCTAAATCTTTCCTCTTTCAGCTTAAAACCATTACCCCTCGTCCTCTCACTGCAAGCCTCTATAAAAAGACACTCCCCAGCTTTCCTGTAGGTGCCCTACAGGTACTGGAAGGCCGCTATGAGGTCCCCCCAGAGCCTTTTCTGCTTCAGACTGAACAGCCCCAACTCCCTCAGCCTGTGCTCAGGAGACACATCGCAGTTCCACGGATCACTTCCCCAAAAGAAAGCACTTCTTACATAAGCCGTGGGATGTCACTGACAGGCACGGTCCCATCATTCGTCTCGTTTTCCCCTTCCTCCTCCTCCTCCTCGCTGCTTTCTGACTCCTCACTGGAAGAGGAGTAGTCTGTCACCTTCTTCAGGGGGCGATTGGTTTCTTCGATGCGCAGCTCCCTCAACTCTTTGGCTAAGGCCGTCAGATCCTAAAGGGGATGGGGGCAAAAACAACCAAGGAAGCGATGGCTGTTATATTTAAAGCAAAGATAATGTCACATACAACTCTTCAAAAGCCAATGCTAACAGCACGAGCAACAAGAAGTAGCTTTACAGAGTTGTTACAAACATGAGACAAACGTAAGACAATGTTTGTAGCATGTAGCATTTATTAAACAAAACAAAACTGATATACGCTCACTGAAAAATCAATAGCCAACCTCTTCATATTCTGTTTGGAACGTGTATGTGCATAGATATACACACACTTACATGTATATACATGACAAAATTATATTTGTTGGAAAAGGTGAAGTTCAGTCACCATCATAGTAAACTGGAAAACAATGTCATTTCAAAGATTGGCTCGGAGGATTTCTCCTGTAGGGTTTTCTCTTCTTTCAAACTTCTCAAAGAGGCCCCGTAATTGTATTTATTCTGTAATAAATGCATTTGGGAAGGAAGCAATGACAGCATCTCCCATGGAGTGGTGCAATCCCCACGTCAAGAGCTGCTTCCATGGTGAGCCTCCGCCGTCGGGCGGCTGCCGAGAGGCGGTGAGGAGCAGGAGGAGAAGCGCCCAGCTCAGCCAGACTTTGGAGTCACAGCTCTGACTCAGCCACATGATCAAAATGATAACAAAAAAAAATAAATAATCCCTCAGTGGGACCCATTAAGCACTTTATGCGAAATGTGGCAGCCTACAAGCTAAGGGCAAAACCAAACCAAACCAAAAAAAAAAAAGCCTTGAAATGAGAAGATAGGAGCAGTCCCAAAGCCTACTAATAATTTTTCAGTTTACCATGACTTTGATGAGGTCTCAGACCCGACAGTCATATAAAAAAGACACTGCTATTTCAAAACAAGGAACATGGCAGGCACCGTGTAGAAAAGAGACTTTTTGTTATCTTACATGCTTTTATAGCAATGCAGGGGGAAGCAGTAGGGCAGAAAAGCATGAGAGCTCGGATTAGAATGGGTTAGAGAACTCTGTTGCACAAGACATGCACATGACGAACAAAGCATCGCAATTGTCAGTCTTACCATTTCTCCCTATATTAGTGACCGAGGTAGGCATCAGTGCATTCGGTCAGAGATAAAGGATTAGGGAGAAAGAAACTCATTGAAAAAGACTAAATTCCACAATAGTCTTATGGCCATACTCTCATTTACTGCATTTCCAGTTTACCGTTCCAGCAGGGCGATATTAATTACGGTTGCAAAGGGAGCTCTTAAAATCTATCCCGTCGACACGTGAAGAAAACGATGGAAAACCTCTATGGCTGAGATGCAAACCCAGTTTGTTCTCGAATCGCCAAGCAGGAATATTTTGCAAGCAATCTGCACTTTGGTTATTGATGACCCACACCTCCCGGCAGGCTCCCACCGGTGGGCAGTCACACATTCTGCTCCCAGGTCTGCCCTGCCTGCCCTGCCTGCTGATGGAGAGGAGAGACTCCTGTGGACATCTGAGAGCTTTGCATCAGACCTGCAAATATACATGTAACAAAAAAATCTAGGCTTTTTGACAAAAGAATCAGTCCCTGCTTCCCTGCAGGTATGTGATGGGTATTACATATCCTCTCTCCAAATGCTCTCTGCACCTTTAAAGAAAGGCTCCTTATCATGATTAGAGAGAGCATATGGTATTTCAAAAGTATAATTTTTGATGTCAACAAGTTTAGGATTGAAATACCAGTCAAATCTGCAGTCATGACAACTAATTATTTTAATTAGCGCTGTAGCAGCTTCTGTGATACGATTGTTTCTTTTCCTAAATAAGAATAAATGACAGTTTCAACAGCTTAACAATGCTTTCAATTTAGAGCAGCCAATAGGCCCTTCACTGAGCCGTTGAGTTGGGTTAGAGCCTTCTCAACTTTAAAAAGGACTTCAGGACTGTGCAAGAGCCTCTTAAAATGCCAGCTGGAGAACTAGGACTGAACCCTTCCCTCTCACAGCAATGGACTGTGAGAATGAGTTCTTTCCTGCACCTTCCATTTCTAACGTGCTTCCAGGCAGCTTATCCACCTCCTTTGGTCAATGCCAGAAGATAGTCAAGTGTACTTTTAAAAATCAGATTAATTAGTTTTTAATAACTAATTTGGAAGTTATAACAGCAATAATACTCCCAGACAATATCATCAGATAACTTGTGTTTCCTAGTTAAAGCTTTGCCTGGGGATGGTTAATTCTTTGATGCTATCATTTTCTCTAACTAATGAGCACTTTGTAGGATTAAACGGCTTCACTGAGTTGCTCTTGGACCAAAAACAATCTGACAACTAGAAAGAAAGTGCTCTGTAGTTCCACATGTGTTTGAAATGTTATTGCTGAGGGTGACATAATACATAAGTTAGCACTATCAGTGCTCTTTAATTACTTTTAATTGCAAAGACTTCTTTAGATTTAATATTTGCTGGAATCAAGTCAGATTGGTTTCCAAAATTGCAGAGCTCATTGAACTTCAATTTAGCCCACACACTGCCTCTATTTCAACACTGATTTATGTGTTCTCTTCTTAACAAAGCACCTCATTAAACAAAACGCATGGCTCATGTTTTATCCGAGGGAACAAGTTAACTAACCAGCATATCTTCCTTCTTTCATACCTTCTACTTCTAGAGGAAGAAGGCTGCTGATACTGGTGCTTCCCATAAGAGTCCTGCAGTTACCAGTACCCGCAGTGTGTGCGCAGCAGTGAATGTGTGAGGCGAGTTAAAGGCTAAGTCAGGAATGTTTGGTCTTTTCCCAAAAACATCTAAATCTTCACCATTTCCAGATGCTCACATGCATTTAAAATATTATCTTGTGGTGAAAAAGGTGTTAATTTGGGACTCTCTTATTTCAGAGGATGGATGAAGGCTAGCATTGCCCATCAATATCCCAGGTGGCTCAACTGACTCTGGCTTTACAGCTGACGGTCTGGTCCATGAGAATGCATTACCCATTCAACACCACTTCTCTGTTTTCCTTTAGTGCCCACATGCCTTCATTTGAATCAGGCTTCAAATACCTTTCAAGCAGCACTCAATGCCCCCACTGAACTCAGTGGGTGGACGGGGGCTGTAGCTGAGAGCAGAATGTGGTGAGCGGTGCAGGCTGCCCGGGCCACCTCCACCAGCATGAGAACCCTCCGCTCTTGCTCCTTCTCTTTCAGATACACCGAACAACGGCAGCACCCTTTGCTCTGTGCTCAAATGCTGGGCTGCTTCTGGCCACGGCCTCCAGGCAAAGTGGTCAGGCTAGCAGGTTCAGACAGCCCAAGGCTGAGCAGAGCACCCGGGCAGCACAGCTTCCCTCCCCTGCGCCGACACCCCCTTCATCGTTCGGTCTCCCGTCCGACCCAAGGTCACCTCGCCGCCTTTCTCAATGTCAGCACCAAGAGCACCCACTTTGATATTAAGCACTAACTAGTCAACCTTGCATAGGCATGACCCACTGAGAAAAGATATCACTAACCTCATCTATAGCTTTCTTATAGCTCTGTGGGTAAAGGAAGAATAATCAGCATCAGAGGAAACAGATCGGGACGGGAAAAAGCCAGAGGAAGGGCAAGCAGGTTAGAAATAAAATTAGAAATGTTAGCTCAACGCTGTGGAGTGTAGAGAAAAGAAACAACATCAACAAAACATTAATACTCATTAAAAAACAGAAACAGTGGAAATTCATTTTGTTATTAGGCTGACTCTGCAGTTTTAAAATATAAATATCAAGAGCATTAAACCAGGAGGAAACATTCGGATGAGATTTTGGTCCAAATAATAAAACGGGAGTGTACAGAGACCACCACTGGGCTTGGTTTTAAGCTGGGAAGGCTGTTGGGGCTGGTCACCCAGGCTTCCCGAGCAGAGCATCCCTCCGCAGGCTGCGGGGGACATGCAGCACGGAACACAACAATGTGCCATCGGCAGCGGCCGCACCCAAGCTAGCAAAGCCCTTAAGCATCTGCTTCCCGTGAAAACACAGGCTTAAGTCCTTTTTCCTAGACTTGGGTTCCGGATAAAAACTCATGCACTCTCTTAAGCATTCATATCTCCCACGGGCTCTTGCCGTACCGCTGCTTTCCAGCCTCTCTGCTGGAGAAGCAATGGTACTAGCCTCTTTTTTGGGGTCCCCGCAGTTGTGCTACGGCACCAAAGGGAAACATGGCCGAGCCAGCTGGCAACGTTCCCTCCGGAAATAATTTCAGACTCACAGCGGGTCGGCTCGGTCGTGTCACATCCCTGTTGTCTTCCTGCTTTACCTTGGCAGGCTCGTGGGAGAGCACAGGAGACCCTTCAGGCTTGGTGTTTCCTGGTGAAAAGCAAGCAGAGGGAGCGGGAATGGAAAGACCGCTGAAAGCCATCGTGTCCTGCCACCTGGGATGGGTGGGCGAGGGGGCCTCACCATCGTTTTGCTTCTGTTGTCTGGAAAAACCCTCCTGCTCCTCTCTGCTTGACCATCACTGCAAAGAGTCTCCATCATTATGGCAATGGCAGCCACAATCCAGCCCAGCCTCCACCCCCTCTCACAGCGTTCCTGCTATTTTTTTTTTTACTAAAGAAGCAAATTCTTTTTGCAAAAGAGCAGAGCATGTGATAAATTTAAAGCTCTGCAGCACCTGACACTGCTGGGACATAATTTGCCACTGGATTCCTCATTAGTAAAAACAAAACCAAACCAAAGAGGACAAATTGGTGATAAACTCCTTTTATTGACTACCTAGAGGAGTGATTATTTAAACAACAGACACGTCATCTTAGGGCCAAGTCATAAAAAATTCAAAGCATGGAGGCAGCAGCATTTGTTTTAATGCACTTCAGCCCTGGGGATTTATCCTGCGGGGCTGTGCCAGAAATGCAGACGTATGGGCTGTATGTGCTCCAGCAACTCCTACTGTGATTAAACAGGGGAACGGAATATCTTTAAGGGGGGCTTTTAGATGAGAGGAAACCATTCAGCCAGGAACATAAACCCAGTGCCAGCATGGCTGCCTGGTGAAAGCACTTTAGAGAGAGCTTTTTATGGGCTAATTCACTCCTCTGCTCCTGTCCCAGGCTTTGCACAAAGATGAAGCTTCAAAAAAAATATCATATACCCACCGGAAGTGAAACACGCTCCCAAAGAAACCATCACAGAAGAAGTGAGCTTGGGTGGATGAAGACAGCAAGAAGGCTGGCTTTTTTTTTTTTTTTTTGTGTACCCTGAAGCATAACCCCCGTCTCTTTTTGTACAAACTACAGGGCACTGTGATGCCAAGGGCAGGAGGCCGTGGGCATCCGACATCAGCATCCAGGCAAACAGGAGTGTTGGCATCTCTGTTTGCAAGGCCATAGAAGTACATCAGAAACCATGAAGCATCTGAATTTTTAGATTTTTTTAAAAACATGTGATATCACAGACCTCTTGTTCATCCTGCTTATCAGCCAGGTCTCAGAAAGCACCCCTGCTGCTAAGGAACCTTCTCAAGAATCTCACCTCTGACTCTGTTGCGCTCGCTGGAGCCAGCCTGGGAGCCAGGCTGGGAGCCACCCTGGGAGCTGGGCTGGGAGCTGGGAGTGCTGGAGCTGGAGGAGCTGCCACTGCTAGTCCTCTGCAGAGGGCTCTCCACAATGGTCTCTGTCCTCCTCAGGTCTGGGTTGCTGTGGGAGCACAAAACAGAAGGGTACTGTCAGATGGTGCTCCAGGCACCTCCAGGGCTTCAGATCCTTCCCACACTGACAGGGATAATCAGAAGATGAGGAGACATCTCCTATGCTGGAGAAGACCTCAGCCCTGTCTTCTACTCTGAAGCTAATGTGCCCCACTGGTACCCATGGGAGCTGAATTAGGCACTTAACATCTTTATGGAGGTGGACCACATCCATGATGAAAAATTGGCGAGAGCAGCTTTCCACTCTTATTTTGCCAAATTCGGCAAAATATAAAAGCTTCTTTGCTCAGAAGTCCCCTTCAGGCTGTACATGTGCATGCTGGAGTCATCTGAATTAATCACCAATATTCACCATAAAAGCAGGAATTTGCAACTCACTGTTAGACAGGAAAAGAAATATTTCATTGAAGAAAGGATCCCAAATTTGCAACAAGGCTGCAGATCACCTCTGCCAGTTAATCACACTTCCCCATTTCCATGGCTTCACTTAAGATACCCACTTATCTTCCTTGATTTCTTTCTCCCTTGTGAACATATATAAATCCAGAATAAAAAGCATCCTTGATTTACAAAGAGTGACTAATATCTCCCAGAGTATCAGATGCCTTTAGGAAATTAATTCTTATTTGGCACTGAAATGACATCAGAAGACATGTTCAGTGCAGAGTTACCCAATTTGGTTTTACACAATATTCCTGTTAGGTGATCTTATCATTCCAAGTCCCAGTATAAAGCATGGAAAACTTTCTCCATCGAGTCCAATTAGGACCCTGCACATGTGAAAATAATGGGGCAACAGTGCCACGTGATGTAACACAGCCCCAGCTGGAGGGTGTGCACGGGGCAGCTGACAGAATGGCCTGGGCACTGCTTAGCAGGGACAATATAGACAATCACTGCCTAGTGTTATCTTGCATTGACACTGGTGGGTATTGAAATTATGGAATGGTTTGGATTGGAAAGGACCTAAAGATCATCTAGATCCAGCACCCCTGCACCAGCAGAGACACCTTCCACTAGGTTGCTCAGAGCCCCATCCAACCTGGCCTTGAACACTTCCAGGGATGGGGCCTCCACAACTTCTCTGGGCAACCTGTGCCAGTGTCTCACCTCCCTCATAGTGAAGAGTTTCTTCCTAATGTCTAAGAGAAAGGAGGGGGCAAAGAATAGGCTCAACATTTCACAGTTGCAGAAGCAAAGATGACAGAAGGGACCTGAGCAAGACAGTAACTTTCTGTGTGCAAGGAAACATCGCCTCATTTATTACAACAGGGTAACAAATAAACAAAAGTGTATTTTAATAATATTTACATTGATGTGTTGGAGGAATCAAGAATCAATAGGAGAGGTGGTTAAAAAGGAAAACTGAAGAAATGTCACATTACCGTAAGAACTGAAATGTGAAATTACTTCACTGAGTACTAAGTTTAATGGACATGGTGGCATCCTAATAATTTCCAGTCTCCATCGAACTGAAGGCCTCCAGCTCCTGCTGTACAGATGATGTATCCTTAGCTAAATTAACTCTTTAAATGTATTAGAATAAAATAATACTAATGTTTTCACCTGGGCTGACCAGGACTGGGACTGGGATGCTGATGGAATCACTGGGCAACCTCCAATGTGAATCCCACAGACTCTCATTATCCTTTTTACTTTCAATACTATCATTTACTGGGACCATGCAGTCCAATATCCCTTTGCATCTTACACTGCCCTTCAAGCAAAAGCTAATTAAAAGAACAACATTTTTGTTAATTTAAAATGCTTCAGCCTTGAGCAATAAGGAGGAACTCACCAGGATATAAATTTTTGTCTAAGTTTAAAAAAAACCACTCCAAACAAACAACAAAAAATATTCCTCATCTTCCTGTTCCCCCTGCCAGCTGCTCTAAGCTGCTGCCTGCATGTTTGCTGGTGCAGGGCTGGGCACTGAGCTGGAAGGAAAGATGTACCCTGAAACTGGTGACTCCACATGGCTATGAACATCCCAGCCTTCACCTTTTGACCTCACTCTGAAAAGTCAAGAAACCAAAGGGCTCCATCCTGTAATGCTACATGGAACATTTGCTGATCCTGAGATTTGCCTGTCTGAGGTCCAGAGATCTGCCCATGATACTCTGGGAAACCAGAGACAAGCTCTCACATGACTAAGACATGTTTTTTCCATCCGGCTCTGAGCAGCTTCTGTCAACTTCCCTGCCCAGGGACAGCTGTGACCTGGCAGAGACGGGATGGCTGCTGTGGTGCAGCATCATGCTGGAGGGCTGGATCTGGCCAAGATAAAGGCCCCAGTCCTAGGAAGCCAAAAGGAATTCAATCCTTAATCTACATCTAAGGAAGATCTCACTGAGCTGTATCAGTATCTGTCCCCCTGGCACATTCCTCAGTCATTATCTGTGGAAAGCTGCTCTGACACACAGGCAATGTATGGTATGTATCACTGAGTTCTCCCCACCAGCTTATATGGATCCCCTACATGCAAGAGGCAACGCTGGGAGAACCAGGACCTAATTCCACTAAAGGGTGTGGCCAAATTCCCATCTGACCCTAGAGCAGCAGATGCAGCATCCCTCTCCACACCCTGCAATGCCCAGGATCGTATTCAGCCCATGGAGCAAAACCTCCAGCCACCCAAGCGCTCACAGCCTTCGGTGTCAGGACAGGAAAACCTAACAAATGCAGAAGTTCATCCCAGTGACATGAGAAGCCCTGCAACTCCTGTGTTGTGGAACCCCAGCCCATCTTTGGGCTCCCTGGCTGGGCGCTGCCAGGAGGAGCACAGGCAGCAGCAGGCCAGGATCTCTCCTGCCCGTGCCCCCTGGGTGTCCGTACCTTGCCCGAATGGGCTGGGAGCCCAGCCGGGGCCCCAGGGCGCTGCCGTTCCCTGGGGAGTTCTTCCTTGCCAGAGCAGGGGATATGGAAGTGGTTCGTTGAGGCACCTGGAAAAGAGCAGAGACATTCCCTGTCACCCAGACCTGCCTGTTGCGTTGGGCAGCCCTTCACACATCTGGCAGGTCACCTCTCAGCACTGCCCCAGGACTTGATCTACAGCCGATTTCCCACTGAGAGAGATGCAATATTTATGGCAATTACACAACACGAAGCCCTCGGCTTTTAGGAGGAATCACCTGAGGCAGAAACAAGCTGCAAAGGTGTGGTCAGGGAAGCTCCTGGCAGAGGAGCCCCAAGCAGCACACAGAGCAGCCCCACTGCCTCTTCTTCAAAACTCAATGTATGCACACACACGTATGTATACATAAATAATTTAAATCCAGCAAAATGTTACTTTCCTGGGTTTGTGGGGTTGGGGTCAGGATTGTGTTTATCATGAATGAAACAGCAGGGTGTTATTTTGTGTGTTCAGATGAAATTGGAATGTGTGTGTCCTTTGCAAAACTGTATGTTTGTTGATTGCTGTGCTAGTGCTGTTACTTGAACAAAAGCAAAGGGAAAAAAGAGTAACTTGTGGTGAGAAGATTTAATTTTCCTTTCAGGTGGAGGTAAGTGGGCTTTTAAGGTATATGAAGAGGATTTGCCCTGTCTGTGAAAAGGATTACTCAGATGTAAAAGCCATAAACCAAATGCTCACGGCAGGGGGATTGGGACTAGATGATCTTTAAAGTTGCTTCCAACCCAAGCTATTCTGTGATCCTATGACAACCTATAGAAGCTATTTCTAAGGTAAAATTCAGACTGAAGTGCATTTCATCAGCCAGGGTGTAGTTTCTAGCATCTCTAGTTCAGACATAACACATGCCAGCCCAGGTGTTGACCAGCAGACAAACAGGAGGGTTCACAGTGGAAAGACCCAGACTGATCCACCTAATGCTGGCGCTAAACCCCGTGACCTTTGATGAGCCTCAGATGCCTCTGCCAAAACCTTACTGCTGGCAGGATGGCTCCTTGCCAACCCTGCCAGCAGAAACTCAAAGCCAAGGCAGCCCCCAGTGGGTAACCCAGAGCCCTGCCCAGAGCCCATCCCATGGGAGCACAGACATCGCACATGGTACCGTGGTCTCACCCCTGGCAGCACAAGCTGACGTGGAGAGGCACAATGATACTCACCAACACCTTGCACCAGGTAACAGAGGCTAAGGGCTCGGCAAGATTAGCAAAAAAAGGATTAGGTTGTTCTTTGGTTGTTGTTTTTTTTTTTGAGAATAAACACATACAGTTATGTCTGGCAAGACAAAAAACATAGAGAGTGAGCGAGCTCTGCTCTGCGCCATCACTGGCTGCTGCTTGTCTCATTAAAAAGTAATCTCCCCCCAGGGCAGGGTACTCTGCAGCTGGGGCTTGGGGATTTTTTTACCTTCCTCTGAAGCATCCAGCCATAAGGACTGGCAGAAACAAGACCCTGGACCACAGAGGCAGCCAGCCTTGCCTCACGAGGCAGTCCTTTCAATCCTGCTTACAAACACATCAAACCCACTTTAAGCAGCGAAGTGTGGTCAGACTCCTCATGGGTGCTACAGGCAATGCGACGGCCTTAAGTGTGTCCCAGCAAGGACCCCTTCCAGAGCTCATGTTCCCTCAGCCAAGGGGGAAAATACTTCACAGTGCTGGAAAACAGCTTTTCTCCAAGGAGCAGGTGCTGTGGTCTCACTGCATCGAGGAGATGTCCTTCTCAAAGGGCTTGAGGCAAAAGCGAACATTAAATTGCAAGGGGTTTTTCAAAATTGAGTTTAAACCAGGCAGCCACCCTCCTGCATTACTGTGGAGCAAAGCACATGAACTGCTCCAGGAGCTGTTGGCCTGCTTTTCCCCTTAGGCTGAGCACTGATGTCTCCTCTTGCTTGGTGACAGCAGAAATAGGAACATCATTAACACATCTAATGAATCACCATGGATCCCTTGTACAGGGAGGCTTACCTGGTAGCTGCTTATTTTGCTCTTATAAAGGCAAGTCACTTACTTTGTTAATACATAGAAAAACTGCTTCTCAATCAGGGACAAATACTGCCTGGCTGTCACTAATCAATTTGTAATCATTTTTTCTCTGTAAAAATCCTCCCAGGCTGAGCACTGATTCACTGTAAGGGGAACTTTAACGGCGAAGTTATAATTCTTCCAAAATGAAGGTGTATAAACAATGTGATCGAAACACTGGCCCACAAGAGTCTTAATTAAAGAGGTTCTAGCAGATGCTGCCAAAATGTCAATGAGTGTATAAAGCTCCTGGAGCCCTTACAAGTCTTCCATCAAATATTGATTGCAACTGGAAGCACAGTACCAGACTAGAAAGGACTCATCTTATTGAGTATGACAAGTTTTATGTTCCTATAATTCTATTTAAACAGAAGGTTGTTTTTCAACCTAGGGATAGGAGATATTAATTTATTTTGGCTTCCATCTGGGCTCGAGAACTTTCTTTGCTGGAGGGCAGCACTATTTTGCAGTGCTGCCTGTGCACCCAAGATCAGCTCCCAGCATCTTGTGCTAAACCTGCCCCAGGAAACGCAGCCCCCAGGCAGGTCAGTACCCGCCGCAGAACCACGGGGATGGGCTCAGTCCTGCCTGCTCTGCTCGAGGTGCTGAGGGGACTCAGTTGTGGGATTGCCTCTTTGATGTGCTGAAAGTGAGGAGCGATAGTGTTACCTTTGGTGGAATGTCTTCCTCCTGCCGTAACCAAGAACTTCGGTCAAACTTTTCAATGCGAGGGGGCAGAGGAGGGTTTTCTGAGGTGGGGTCCGAGTTCTGCCTTGGCATCTCAGTGCGGTGAGAGGTCACCGTCAGAGCCTCCTGAAACCCAGCCAGTCCCTTTGCAGGCTGTTCATGCAGTGACTGAGACCCAGACAAGGAGCTTCCTTGGGATTTCACAGTGACCAGATGTGGAATCTAAGCACCAAGTCAAAACAGAACTATCAGTACAAAATGGGAAAAAAAAAAAAAAGAGTACAAAAATATTAAAAAATTTGATTTTAAAAAAATATTTTGGTAAGCACTTTGGCTGCACTTAAAAAGCCCCCTCGGTTTGAGATCAGCACTGCCTTGGTTTCAGGAACTTCTGACTTACTTTGCTTCAACACCAAGAGCTTTTAAAAACGAACGCTGGCACAGCTCAGCCTTTGAAAAGCAGGCAATGTCACGATGTCATGCTTGAGTCCTGACCACTCCTGCCTGCCCACGGTGGCACCGACAGCCCAGGTCTGTTCTCTGGGCACCACCACCCCGGGGGGGTCGGGCTGGGCTGCTCCCTCCTGCCAGCTCCCGCCCCAGGCTCTGCCGGCACCTGCACCTCTACAGTCCTGCTAATGAGGTTTGGCATGGATTTGCCTTTAAAAATGAGGAAAAAAAAAAAAAAAAAAAAAAAAGAAAAGGAAAAAAAATAAAGAAGGAAACGATAATAAATAATAATTTAAAAAAATTTTCATCAGGAAGTCTGAGGCATAGATGGCTTAAAAAAAATTATCTTGAAGCATGAGTTTCTATAGGTCTAGGATGTCCCTATCCCATGGATCAGCCTTATAGATGTAAGGGTCATGAGTGAAAGGAATGCTGACATCTGTTTTGGGAGGTCTGAGACACTCACAAAGTGTGAGTTTGTGAAATCAGAGCTTCTTCCCAGGACCCCGTGGAGCTGCACTTCTTCCATACAGCAGGGTGGTGACCTTAACCTGACACTTCTATACGTCTACATAGACACACACATGTGTTTATGTGTATGCATGCAGACATCTACATGGGTCTCTGGGTTTCAAACTACCTTTCTGGTACTATTTGATTGCTAAGCAAAAGTCTTTGTAGCTGCTGACAATATGGATCGTCAAAAAAGGTCACTGAGAAATATCTGGTCAATCAGAGACATATATTTGCTCAGTCCCAATGCATATAGACCATGTACATTGGGGGAAAAAGGAGCCATATGATTAAGGGCTTTCTTGCATGTGTTTTGTTTAAACCTGGCACTGCTGCTGACCTACAGGTGCACCCAACACATGTGGGTGGTACTTAGTTGGCACATTTTCCCATAGAAAGCTCACATGGTCATGGAGTAAAGGCTTTGCACGTCCTTCTGAAATCCCTGCTGGAGCACTTCCCGGGGCAGGACCAGAGCACCCACACTAGGTGCAGAGCTTTCAAGTGGCAGGGTATTTACAGGCCTCAAGGCTGGAAGGAATTTTATGATGGTCGTGGTGATCTATGCCCTCTCCAGATGTGTTTGTGACTGATGTCAACTCAATGGAAAACCAAAACAAAACCTTGAATTAAAGCGGCAAAGAAAGCAAAACCTCTTTCTGATGATCCTCAGCATCAAAGCGTCCCAGGTGTTTTGTACCAGGCGCTGTGGTTTTCTGAGTCCTGCACATAAACCAGACCCAAAGAGGAACAGAGCAACTGCCACACTGGACCAATCCAGCAGTTCCTCCTGGTCCTCCAGCTTGTTTCTGGCAGTAACCAGTACGTGATGCTTCAGAGGAAGGTATAAACCAGTGTGATGTTTCTAACACATGGAGGTGACAAGAGGAATCCACTTATGAATGTAGATGTTGCTCTTACTCACGAATACACCTAAAGCTGAGAAACCAGGGAGCAAGACACTATTTCCCTTTAACTCACTCATTTTCTCATTACCTTACCAGCACCCCCAGCATCCTGGCTCTAGTAGCTGAGCCTGCTGGGGGGAGCACCATTACCTGTGGGTCCACAGGTCGGAGCAGGGGTGGGGTCCGTGCTGGCTGCACACCACTGATGCTGAAAGACTCAGAGCGAGGAGGCAGGTTGGGGTCAGAAATCCTGTTGGCCACCTTGTGGGGCATGGCCGGTGAGCTCTGCCGGTTGAGCCGGGAGCGCTCCTCCACCTGCGGCGAGACGGGGAGAGTGGGCGACCGCCCCTGGAAATGCCACGTGGCTTCATAGATCTATGTGTATAGGAAGCTCTTTTTCTCTTTTAGGTATATCATATATATTGCATGATCATGGAATCCCCCGTTACCCAGCAGATTGTGCAATACATGCATTTTAAAGACAACGAAAGGACTATTTGTATTCATGTGTGTACTTCACTTCTGAATATGAAATGGAAAAGTAAAGGCAACGTGCCTCAGAGAGGTGTTTCTAGGAGATGGCTCCTGAGAAGCTCTTGCATCTTCCCAAAGGTATCTTTAAACAAGGGGTGCCTCTTCCTTCACTACTACAAAAGCCATGAGGAGTGCTTTTGTTTGATCTGAACAAAAGAATTAACATGGCAGCCAGAAAATGGCTGGCTTTGATTTAGATTAAGTGAGTCTGGCACCTTGTCATGCAAGGAAGACAAAAAAAACACTATTAGTGATGGAGAATAATCCCAAAGCCCACAGGTTTCTGCTACCCTTGATGGAAGAACAGCAGTTTCAGCTAACCCAGGCATATGTGCAACCTGGCACTCCTGCAGTTACACTGTACACACTGATATTCATGCAGAGTATGCTCTGCAGAATTGTTGATACCTTGAGATGTGTATTTTCATTTACGTGTTAAAAACCCTTAGAATGACTTGATTCCACCTTGTGCAATGTCATGTTAAACAGCAATCTTTAAAACAGGTTTGCTTGGGAAGAACCACAGCTCTTCTTTAAGTAAACAAATACTCATTAAATCTATGCACGGTTGTATTAATACAAATTAATCTCTTCCCTCTTTCAGATACTGAGCAGGAGTCAAGAGTAATGTTCAGGCAGGAGATCTGTGTTATGGACTCACTCATAAAGGACCATCTGGGCCACTGCTGTGCCCCAAGAGCTCGTCACAACTTCCCCAGGTGCCACCCAATGGCTAGCAGAGCTTGTGCTGAACTTGGTTCAGTGACGCCCACGGAAGTGGGCACAAGAATGGGAAGGAGAGCAGGGCAGAAAGGAGAACTCCCTCTGGACTAGGGAGGAGCAGCACGGGTGCTGGGTCACAGACCCAGGCCGGTACATCTCCTGATCAGCCAAGCCTTGGCATGAACAACTGCAGGCAGAGATGCTGCCGCCGCCACCGAGTCCTCCGGCTGTTTGCCGGCACCCCCGGCACGCTGCCAGGCTGTAATGTGCAGCTAATTATGGAGGACTTCAAAGCTTGCTTGGAGGAGAAGACAGGAGAGTGATGAAACAGGGATGTCTCTGTACTGGGAAGGAGAAAGGGGCTTGGTTTCCCACTGCTAGCAACTCCTCGCTAGCACCCTGTTGCATCAGCACAGCAGAAGATGCTCTTGGGACTATCCACCTGTACTTGATGGAGCCTTATTGACTCCACCATTAGGCAGGGAGGGGGGGAAAAAGCAGCAGAACCCTGCAGGATTTCATCATCACTGTGGTTCAAGCCATCTCAAATTGTACTCAAGATTCCTCTCAAACAGGAAACTTCTGTGCAGATCCCAGTTGAAGGCTGCTAATGTTTTAACACATCACTTAAAAGCAAGAGAAGGATAAAAGCCACAGGGACTGAAGGAGGAGCTGACATGTGCATTGGTTCCTGTGATGCACAGCTGATCCCCCAGGAAGCTCTGAGATGCAGGAAAGCACTGCAAGGCCCACCCACCATGTGGAAAACATCTTATTAAAGGTGTCCCCTCCTTTATGCATGGTCACGTATGGCACATACCTGCCCAAACCTACCCTTCAGCTTACCAAGCTGCTTTGTCACTGAGAAGTTAGCCCTGGCTATCTGCATCACTTGGGTTAGCAAATACTGGTCTGCAAGTGTCAGAAATTGAGAGCTGTTGATTACAGTATTACTGCTTAGAGTGCTAATGCCACTTCCCTGGGTGGATCATCAGAGGGTCTCAACATGATATCTGAAAAGGCCCAGCTATTCTCTCATTATAAGGAGAGATGTGCCTGAGTAAAGAAGGCAGGTCTGGGACAGCACCCAAGCTGTATCCCAAGTTAACTTCCCATGGATGATCCTTCACTTGGAAGATGCACAGAAAGGACAGCAGATGGGGACGTGCATCCATTTATGTTGGTGGGACTATGTGATCAGACTGTTTGGTCTAGCATAAAAAAGAAGATAAATCCTTGACTGTGCTCTGGGGAAGCCATGAAAGATGCAGTACAGCCTGTTTCCTGACCCAGAGCTTTGCCTGCATCACCAGTCCCTCACCAAGGGGACACAGGGACACAACCACAATGTGAGGGGACACAGCCTCACCTTTATGCTTTACCCCATGTCTGCAGGGTCTTGGAGTCAGCATGTGCAGACAAATAAGGTGGGAAAACAAGTGAATAAAGGAGAGGTATGAAAGGCAGAGGGGTATGGCATGAGGACAATTCACCTGTGGTAACCAGGCTCCTAAAAGAGAAGAGACCAGAGCATAAAACAAGGATGGGATATCACAGAAAATCTTCAGGAAATATCCCAACAAGCTCTGCAGAGCCTCCAGAAATTGCAGGCTGAGCATCAGACTTGTCTATTCCTTGTTCCCACAGGAAAACTCAGTATTTCAGTTAAATCAGCATGCATGGGTTGGGTATGGAAATTGATAAAACTACAGCAAGAACCATGGCAGGCTGATTAAGTAAGTCTTGAACAAGTCTATCTGTGTAGCCAGCAAGGCTGGTGCTTCAATTTGTGCAGTGAAGTAGCTGAACTGTGCTAAAAGTGGGACTATGCAGTAGATAAAGCAGTGGATGGAGGCAGGAGGAGTTTTGGGAAGTTCCCAAGGGTGTTGTGTCAAGGCAGTACATCAAACTAATGCTCCCAAGAGCAGAAAGATGCCACAGTCACAGCTTTGAATGCTCCATTAGAAACCAGACAGAGTGACACAGGTAAAGAAAAAATGGTTTGGAGAGCTAATTGGTGGATGCTGGAGGTGTTCCCCAACAACAGCAAACCTCACCTTCCCTATGGTTTCAGTAAAGGGTTTAAGGCCACGTTCTGCTGCTCTTGTTCACACTCTATAGTTCCCAGCATCCTGCTTCCAGTGATGGCATCAAAAAAGATACCTCCCCACAGAACCTTTGTGTTTGAAATGGAAACTAAATCCAGCACTTTTCTCCTTCACCCCAGATAAAGAATAGGATTCCTTTTTATCTGTCTCTGTTACAGTTTTGAAGACAGTGCCAGAGGCATATTAGAAAAATTCCAGAGGATTTACTCAAAACCAAGCAATGAAATACAGAGTTTACTCCCTTCTTCCTGCCTGCTGCCTACTCTCAGCACCTCTGCAGATGGACAAGAGAGACCCAGTTCTGCAGAAAACAGCAGGGCACCCCATAGGTGGAAGCCTCTCCTATCAGAGGAGGCTTAGAGGCACATCTGGAAGGTCTTATCTACAGACTCTACCCAACCTCTTCTTGGACTGGAAGGGCTGGAGAATGATGCTGAAAATCCATGAATACATTGAATGAATGAATCCATTAATTGAATGAATCCATGAATACATACATTTTCTGGTGCAACACCACCAGGAGTCCAAAGACTGAATCAGAAGGGAACGAAGGAGAAACCCAGGGGACTATGAAGAAATGAAGTTTTTGACACTCGCATCTACCTATGTGATGGTTCAGAAAGGTGAAGAACTATTAGTATTATTGGCCTTTGCTGAGCACTGGACATCTGAAAGAATTTCTTGAACATGAGATGCTTGCAGGTATTGTGGACGAAGCTGAGGGATGTCAAGAAGAAAAGCCAGGAGAGAGCTACATGTTGGATGCACATCACATCTCTGCCAGGACTAACGGGTGCCAGACATTTGGCAGGAGAGCAGTCGTCCAACTTAGTGGGAAGAACAGATGAGTAATGAAAAGAACTTTCTGCTCAAACGTAGGGTTACAAAATCAAACCAATTAAACACAAAGAACTTCAGAAAAATTAATGGCAAGATGGTGCCATCACAAAAATTAAGTAGAAAGAGTTTGCACATGATGCTGAAACCGCACTGCAGGCAATGAATGCCTTCATCTGTTCAGCCAGGCAAGAATTAATATTCAAGATCTCAATTGTTAAAACTGTTCCCTCTTTTTTTGCTGGAGAGAAAAAGAAAATTGATAGCGTGGCTTGTCTTTGTGGAAAAACATGAAAGAAGAGCAACCCCAAGAGATACAGCCCTGATCAAAGGAGGAAAAGCTGTCTGATCTGTGTTTGACTATGGGGAACTGAACTTGTGCCCAGCAAGGAACCTGGCTACAGCCACCTTTTTTATTCACCCCTGACCCCAAGCAGACTTGTGGACACACATGTGCCCAGCTATAGGAACCAACCTCCTCTTTGCTTACCCTCACGGAAAAACCTCCATCCTCTACCCTCTTTGCTTGCACAAATGTACATGCTGACGCACACACTTGAACTGGGAGTGTTTCCAGCACAGCTACTGGCATCTGCTGGAGGCCCATTTGTATTTCAGACCAAACCACGTGCCCAGCCCTGCAGATGCAGCCAAGCATCACCCTGCTCCTCACTCTTGCCTACCTCCTTGGCCCACGCTGGTTTCTCGCTGGCATTTATCCCTTCTTTGTAATGGTAGAGGGGTTTCTTCTCTGCCGGCCTCTGGTCCTGCCGCTGCTGCTGCTGCTGCTGCTGCAGGGACACCAGGTAGTCCCGCTCCTGCTGGAGCTGCCTCTGCAGCCTCTCCGCCTGCCGCTGCTCCTCCAGCTGCTTGCGCTTATACTCCTGACCCAGAAGAAACCACAGTGACACAGGGGCCCTGGAAATGCAGGGCTGCAAACTGCACATGTATTGGTTTGGGTGGAAAACGGGGCCTGAGTCTCTGAACGGCTGTTTTCTGGCAAAGCTCCTTGATTTCAAAGACTCTGGGGGCAGAGCTGTAAAGCATCTTGGAGAGACAGGTGGGGGGACAGAACCAGGACATGCAGGGCTGTGGCCTCTGGGCTGGCACTTTGCTGCTGGTGAACTGTCCTGTCTGCTGGATCAGGGGGAGCTAGAGCTGCCTGAACAGGGAAACACTGAGACAACTCCCAGGGGCTCAGACACCCTCTTGGGAGCTACCACTGAATTTGCCCACATTATTCTGGATGGGAAGAGCAACGTGTCAATTTGATGAGGTGCCACACACCAGCAGCCAACTGAAGCCTCTGTAGGACCAACTCATTGCTGGTGGGAAGGGGCACACAGATGAGCCAGCTGTATGATCTTTCTGAATCCCTATGGCTCTATGAGATTTAGTGAGTAAATGATTTTGAAAGGGTCTTTTTAAAAGACAAGGGCTTGTGTGAGGGTTTTTCTTTTCCCTAAATAAAATTACTAGCAAGAGAGAAAAAGAATAATCCCTGCAGATTAAGAGAAAATGCAGTGAGAGTAACAGCTACCAGCATCAAAAAAGGGCAACTCAAAACTAAATTAAATTTTAAAAAAAGGACATCTAGAAGGAAAACAGAGCTAGAGGGAATATACAGTGTTCCTGTGAGGAAATTGAAACCAAAAGTCTTTACTTGGAGTATGGAAACCCACGTGGCAGGGTGGGTTTGGCAGGTGCAGACACGCAACAGCTCAGCCCCGCTCCAGCATGCTGCAAACAGCCCTCAGCAGCAAAGCGGGCTGCTCTGCTCAGGAAGGCACAAGGTGTGCACCCCAGGGGAGCAGCCTGAGGCAGGGAATCGAGGCATGCTGGTGGCCACAGTGCCCCCTGAACCTCAGCACGGTGGGAGGCACTGGGGGGAACATGGGCACACACGGGCACATGCGGACACGACACGGGCAGAAAGCGACAAGCGTGGCTGGGGCCTCCCATTTACCAGAAGTAGAGCTTGCTCCTGCAACAACTGCTGCTGCAGGATCTCTAACTGTCTCTGCTCCTCCTCTAACTGTCGCCTGATGTATTCCTGGAGGCATGGGCAGCAAGAATCAAAGGAAAAAGAGAGAGAAGGTAAAAGAAACAGTCTTTCCCAAGAGGAAGGGGAATGAGATGGGCACCCCCATCCATCCCGGCCGAGAGCTGACACCGATTCATCAGCCTGGACACCGATTCATCAGCCTGGGCCCCCTCCACCCCTGCCCAAAGAGCCTGGAGTATCCACCACTGTACTGGGACCTCAGAGGGTAAAGAGGGAAAATGGCAAACATTTATTGGGACCACCACAAAACCCCACTTTGGGAACCAGTGGGTGGCAAAAACCTGCATCAAGTGACTCCACATCTGCAGGCCAGCAAGTGCATCACACAGAAATAAATGGCGGCAGTGGAAAGTGACACACGCAGCGTTAACAATTAAGCAATTTGCTTTCAAGTGGCAAAAAATCAAAGTGTTTAGGAGAAGGACCTCTCTCTGATGAGCAGAAGAGGAATTGCCCTGCTCCTGCTGGGCTACCTGCTCGTGCTCGGCACGTCGCCGCTCCTCCTCCCGCCGCATCTGCTCCTCGTAGTGCCGCCGCTGCTCCCGCTCCTGCTGCTTCCGCAGCTCCTTCCCCCGCCTCTGTTGCTGTGGGGGGCAGGAGGCACAGGTCAGCACCACCACTCCTGTCCCCAGAAGCTCAAAGTCCTTTTTTGCATTATTTTTGGGGAGCCACCTTACCCAGAGACCTGGAATGTTCCCAGACCAAACCACGTGCCCAGCCCTGCAGATGCAGCCAAGCATCACCCTGCTCCTCACTCTTGCCTACCTCCTTGGCCCACGCTGGTTTCTCGCTGGCATTTATCCCTTCTTTGTAATGGTAGAGGGGTTTCTTCTCTGCCGGCCTCTGGTCCTGCCGCTGCTGCTGCTGCTGCTGCTGCAGGGACACCAGGTAGTCCCGCTCCTGCTGGAGCTGCCTCTGCAGCCTCTCCGCCTGCCGCTGCTCCTCCAGCTGCTTGCGCTTATACTCCTGACCCAGAAGAAACCACAGTGACACAGGGGCCCTGGAAATGCAGGGCTGCAAACTGCACATGTATTGGTTTGGGTGGAAAACGGGGCCTGAGTCTCTGAACGGCTGTTTTCTGGCAAAGCTCCTTGATTTGAAAGACTCTGGGGGCAGAGCTGTAAAGCATCTTGGAGAGACAGGTGGGGGGACAGAACCAGGACATGCAGGGCTGTGGCCTCTGGGCTGGCACTTTGCTGCTGGTGAACTGTCCTGTCTGCTGGATCAGGGGGAGCTAGAGCTGCCTGAACAGGGAAACACTGAGACAACTCCCAGGGGCTCAGACACCCTCTTGGGAGCTACCACTGAATTTGCCCACATTATTCTGGATGGGAAGAGCAACGTGTCAATTTGATGAGGTGCCACACACCAGCAGCCAACTGAAGCCTCTGTAGGACCAACTCATTGCTGGTGGGAAGGGGCACACAGATGAGCCAGCTGTATGATCTTTCTGAATCCCTATGGCTCTATGAGATTTAGTGAGTAAATGATTTTGAAAGGGTCTTTTTAAAAGACAAGGGCTTGTGTGAGGGTTTTTCTTTTCCCTAAATAAAATTACTAGCAAGAGAGAAAAAGAATAATCCCTGCAGATTAAGAGAAAATGCAGTGAGAGTAACAGCTACCAGCATCAAAAAAGGGCAACTCAAAATTAAATTAAATTTTAAAAAAAGGACATCTAGAAGGAAAACAGAGCTAGAGGGAATATACAGTGTTCCTGTGAGGAAATTGAAACCAAAAGTCTTTACTTGGAGTATGGAAACCCACGTGGCAGGGTGGGTTTGGCAGGTGACGACAACCTGGCAGGTGCAGACACGCAACAGCTCAGCCCCGCTCCAGCATGCTGCAAACAGCCCTCAGCAGCAAAGCGGGCTGCTCTGCTCAGGAAGGCACAAGGTGTGCACCCCAGGGGAGCAGCCTGAGGCAGGGAATCGAGGCATGCTGGTGGCCACAGTGCCCCCTGAACCTCAGCACGGTGGGAGGCACTGGGGGGAACATGGGCACACACGGGCACATGCGGACACGACACGGGCAGAAAGCGACAAGCGTGGCTGGGGCCTCCCATTTACCAGAAGTAGAGCTTGCTCCTGCAACAACTGCTGCTGCAGGATCTCTAACTGTCTCTGCTCCTCCTCTAACTGTCGCCTGATGTATTCCTGGAGGCATGGGCAGCAAGAATCAAAGGAAAAAGAGAGAGAAGGTAAAAGAAACAGTATTTCCCAAGAGGAAGGGGAATGAGGTGGGCACCCCCATCCATCCCAGCCGAGAGCTGACACCGATTCATCAGCCTGGACACCCTCCACCCCTGCCCAAAGAGCCTGGAGTATCCACCACTGTACTGGGACCTCAGAGGGTAAAGAGGGAAAATGGCAAACATTTATTGGGACCACCACAAAACCCCACTTTGGGAACCAGTGGGTGGCAAAAACCTGCATCAAGTGACTCCACATCTGCAGGCCAGCAAGTGCATCACACAGAAATAAATGGCGGCAGTGGAAAGTGACACACGCAGCGTTAACAATTAAGCAATTTGCTTTCAAGTGGCAAAAAATCAAAGTGTTTAGGAGAAGGACCTCTCTCTGATGAGCAGAAGAGGAATTGCCCTGCTCCTGCTGGGCTACCTGCTCGTGCTCGGCACGTCGCCGCTCCTCCTCCCGCCGCATCTGCTCCTCGTAGTGCCGCCGCTGCTCCCGCTCCTGCTGCTTCCGCAGCTCCTTCTCCCGCCTCTGTTGCTGTGGGGGGCAGGAGGCACAGGTCAGCACCACCACTCCTGTCCCCAGAAGCTCAAAGTCCTTTTTTGCATTATTTTTGGGGAGCCACCTTACCCAGAGACCTGGAATGTTCCCACCTGCCCAAGGAGATGCCTTGCCAGCTGGCAGGTCCATATAGGGTGGTAGAGAGGCTTGTTGATCCCACTTCATCCTCACCAGCTCCCATGCCTGGCACTGGTTAAGGAGAACCCACAGCATCCTCCAAACCAGTGCCAGACCAGGCAGGCAATCCCAGTTCTTCTCCCACTTGCCAGTGAAGCCCCATGCATGGTCCCCACATCCCAGCATGCCTGACTGCTGGGTTAATCAGGTTCCAGACACAGGGGGTGCTCACCTGGGAGCCACATGAACCCATCGTTTATGGGCAACTCATATCTCAGCACAAAACTCACCCAATAAGGATGAAGGAGAGTGCTGGGGGTGCTACTGCTTGCTGAGATGAACACGTCCCTCTTAATGTTTGCCAAGACCAGAAGCTAATACAGAAGATCCAAAGTTCAAGGGTTTTTTGCTTTCAAAAGACAAAATGAGCTTCCTTTGCTGTCCTCAGGCCAGCCCAGCCCCTTCCCTCCTGGGTCACATCCCTCTGCTTGGCATTCTGGGGTGATGGGCACCCAGGTGATGCCTGCAGCCCCCACAGCCCCTGCTTTGAACACAACATCCCTCCTCCAACTACCCGAATCACCCCGCTCCCCATCAGGGGCTCACAGCAAGTTGCAGCAGTGCCCTGCCATGGAAGCAGAGGGGCTGCAGCTGCCCCCCACCACAGCCCCCCCGCCACAGCGGCAGAGGGCACTCAAATGCCAACACTGGCTGCTGGGGCTCTGCAGTCTGCCCTAGCTCCATCCCTGCTGGGTGCAGCAACACGCCTGCAGTGCTAACGGGGAGGCAGCTGGCTGAAGCAGAAACCTGCTCCCTTTTTCTCCCTCTTTTTCCTTTCCTTTTTCTTCGGCCGGTGCCGACACAGAGCACTGAGCTGGCAGCAGTGGGCAGGCGGGCTCCGGGGGGCTGGCAGTGCCAGGCAGTCCCTGCATCACGTGGAGGGCTGGAGCTGGCAGCCCACCATTGCAGCTCTGCACAAGGAGCTGGCTGAGCTCTCTGGAGACAAAGATGCTTTGAACTGCTGCTCTGCAGGGACCCTGCACTGTGTGTACTGATGGATCTGAAATCAATGGATTGATATCTAGATAGGTATGTTCTATCTAGATATCTGTATATCCCTATTATACGTATCTATGGAGAAATGATATAAATATTATAAATATTATATAGATCTATCTCTTAATACAATAGCCTAATACAATAGAACCACCTCTAATATATGTATTTATAATAGATATCTAATAGATACCCTATTCTCTTAGATAAACATCTGTTATAGATACTATCATTCTGTTCTTACCTGTTCTATATTCTGCTCTGTATTTTATTACGTATTCTTGTGTATCTCTCTGAATATCTTTCTAGAGATAGATATCTATAGGTATCTTGATAGATGCCTATAAAGATAGATGCATTTATAGATAGATATTTTAACAAATATTTAAAGACACCCTCACATTTCAATACAGGGAGGAGCCATTGCCTGTCTTGCTGGCTCCCTGCTCATCCACTGGGAACATCCACAGCCACCCTGTTCAGGGATCTGCTGCTTTCCTCCAGCTCAGTGTTGGGGCTGCAGCACAGCTTTACTGCCACCTAAAGCCACGATTATCAGTGCTGTTCCACTTGCCTCAGGACAGGAAAATTGCATCCCACCTGAAACAACCTGCCAGCTCCAGGCTCTGGCATGTCCCGCTGCTGGTGGTGGTCACTGCTCCTGTGCACTCAGGACCATGGATCTTTTGCTAAAGGGTTAGGAACATGTTACTCTGAGCTTCCAGTCACAGTGTGCATCACACTGGGTTTGGAGGGGAGTTTAACGCTTTAACATTTTTGGGTTCCATATGATTTTTGTTTTGTTGGGGTTTTTTTGGTTTCTTTTAGTTAAATTAGCATGCTGCTGAATAAAGCACATTATGCTTGTGTAGGCTGAGCTTGGCTGGCAGGAGGCAAGGCCCTGAATGCCACAGCTATTTCTTAAACAAAAATCACCTGATTGGGCTTTATTTCCAATCCAGCAGGAGAACAAAGCCAAACCACTCCAAGGAGGGAGACAAAAGCATTCTTCCCAGGGATGAAGCAGCTCACCACCATCCCTCCAGGACACCATGCACCCAACAGCTCCAGCAAGCTTGTCCTGCCCCTGGTCTCTCTGCTATAGAGCAACATCTAACCACCAACCTCCTCCACACCAAAAAGCTTAGTTAACCCCAGGAGCTGGGAATTAAGCCTCCTAAGCAGAGTCTTCTTTCAAAGCCAGGTCTGATACTCTTCTGGGTATTTAAAGGACCCCTGCACCCTGGCACAGCCAGGCTCTCCGTGCTCAGGCTGTCTATACATTGATGGAGGCCAGGAGCACAGCACTTCCCTCCAGCTCAGGTCACGTTACTAGCGAGTGATTTGCCAGGGTCTCATGAGGAGCCCCCTCAGCTCCCGGCAGCCCTGAGCCCCCGCAGGGCAGGGCTGCAGTGGCAGCACCTCCTGCCCCGCCCCGCCGCAGCTGGCAAACATCTGGAAGGGACCTGGCCCTGCAGTAACGGCCCCATCTCCCTGCCACTTCTGCTCATGCCAGTGGGGTGGGGACCCTGTTTAAAGTAGGGATTAAGATGAGTTGAGAACTGCATATGGAAAGCGCATGTAGAAAAAAAGAGAGAATCCAAGATCTCTCTTTATTTCCCTTCTTTCTCCCTGTTTTCTGTCCTCCCTCTCCCACTGTGAATGCATGCTTCCCACGTTTTTCCAAGCCCAAAACTACTATGTGTATTTACACTATACAGATCTATTATTCATGCAAAGCAAGAGTGCCAATTAATTAGGACTGCATTTCTATAACTGCAGGTAAAGCTGTATGTAGCTGCTTGTAAGCCAGGATGGGATCTTATTTGCACTGCACTAGAAATGACAGGTTTTAAATATTGATGAGGGAAAACACACAAAGGCGAAACCTCTGCTGGGAAGGTCCTTGGAGACCTGGCATGAAACAAGGACTTCAAAGGAGCAAGCTCACTTCACTAGATCAGATGGGTTCAGGACTACGAGTGATCACTGAGCTGGAGCTGCCCTGTGACCCCAGTGAGCTCGGAGAGGCACCAACACTTGCAAGAAGAGGCTCCTGGAAACCTTGGCTGCTGCTCCCAAACACAAGCATAAGCCAGCAAAGAAGTGGAAGGGGAATTCCAAGTGACAAATGAGAACAAATATTCTAGGTGGTTGCATTGTTGTGACAGGGTCATTTATCTGAGCCACGAGGGAAAAGAGTGACTGTGGCGGGAACGTCATATTTTCCTGACACACCAAGCACTGGAGCACAGAGAGGTGTTTCCCACTGGTAGAGAAACTGGGTCAGAACTTCCCACCATGGCAAACAGGGATCTGATCAGCTTCGAACCATCACAAGAGCTTTTAGTCAAGGTCATCATGGAGGGATGCTCCATGCAGGAAAGGGCTTGTGCTTCAGAAACTCTGAGTTCTAAACACTTTCTAACCAAAGAAAAGCTAGAGACAAGTAAGGCTTAGCACATACCTGCACTACAGGAGCTGCTGCAATACAGCTCTTGTTGGAAATAGGTAAGGGACAGTGCCAGGACCACAGCAATGCCCCCATGTATCCTATTACTGCAAAAAGGCTGTCACTTTAATGAAAATGTTCCTACAAGCTGTGTGACACCTGCATATACAGACAAAAATAACAACCTCCATTTTAGCTACCCTAAGTTTATCTGTAATTAATTGCTGGAATTTTTTTGCATTACATTGTAAGAGCTTCAAGTAGACAGTCTTCCGCCGGTTAAGATAATAAAGGAGTTGCAACTTGTTCCCCTGAACGACCAGCACTGAATGAAACCCCACATGCAAAGGGCAAGACAGTTAGCTTTGCCTTCTCTGTCCCCTGTAATGATCTGACCTTCGTTTTATACCTAGAAAGGAAAAAAATCCACAAGATGGCAGAAAAATGAGGCTATGTAAACACCTCCCTGACTACATCTGCCCACTGCTGCCAAAAGTCTGTACAGAGATTTGTCTTGCAGGATCCCTAATGCTCCTGACGGGGAGATGTGTTATTCCTACTGCTCAGCTGGAGCTTTGGTGGTTAAACTGGTGCAGCAAGGCTCATTCTGTGCCAGCAACAAATGGAGTGCTTATTAGGGAACTATATATATCTATGTATATACAGGGAAAAAATACTATATATATTCAAGCCTATTCATCCTTCTGCATTTCACAAGTATTTCCCTTGGTGCTATTTCATCCATTGGTATTTAATTCCCTAATTTTGGCTTTTTTTTGCATTTAGTTCTGGTGCACCTTTCAAATTCACGAGACCAACTTTCTGTAGGAAAGGAAACAAAGCTGCAACTGTCTTCTCATGAAGGTCCTGGTTTCAAAGCTAGTGTGGGGATTTTTACTTCCACTGCAATTAAAGACAGCTGCAAATCTAAGTCTCTCCGGCTGCCTTGAAGAAGATTCAGCCTTAAAGAAGGAAATCAGTCAGCTGTTGAAAAAGGAGACTCAAGTGTCTGACAGATGCAAGGAGATATGCTAAGGAGGGGAGCAGATCTTGTAGGCAGCATGAGGGGCATCAGGAGACCACCAGCAGACTTCCTCACTTGACTTTTGATATATGGATTTGGTGCTATTGCAGGAACAATTTTAGAAGACCGTGGATTTCCCCAAAAATGCCCTAAAATGAAAAGTACTTCATGAGAGGTTCAAAGATCCTTGTTTACAAAAATCAAGATGACAGAAAAAACGGGATTCCTTCATTATGAGCCCTGCTGGGTGAGGGAACAAAAACGATGGGACCTTTGTCCCAGAAGTATTCAAAAACAGTATTGGAAAACTATAAGAAAATCTACTGAAGGTCTGCTCTGACAGAGGAATGGATCAGTTATTCCACTGACAGCCTTTCTCCAGCTCTTTTACTGCGTGTCTCCAGTACAAATGAACTCCAGAAACTTTTGAGCTTGGCATTCTCCAAAGTCAATCATTTTGGTGCTGCACTGGGGCCCAGCCAATGTGCTCACCCAGCCTGGCCACCTTCACGGCGTCTTGTTCTGAGTCACAGCTCTTTCTATAAACACAGTAATATGCCTGGCAGTGCTAAACAGGCTGACTTAGGAGCCCCAAAAGCCACCAGCTCCAAGTGTTTATTTGTCCCGGATGCTCTATTGGGTTTTAAAGGTCAAATTTATTTTGAAAATCCAGTAATCTGAGCCTTCCACTGGTCTCCCCTCCCAGAGATCTGCTGGTACAGTACTGCCTGTTGGAGGCACACCCCTTCTTAGACCATAAAGAAACCATGTTCCCATTAACCAAACTAAATCTGGAGCCAAGACTCAGCAACTGAAGTTAGTGCAAATCTAAAAATAGTGGGGCAGTCTGGGGGTACAAAGCCATTCCCATGCAGAGGCAGCATCCCTCCCCAAGGTGGATGCTGAGACTCCTCCAGGAGCAGGAAGCTCAAGGGCAGGATGCTCAAAGCTGCTTGTGCAGCTCCTCTAGCCAGCTCCCCATAGCAGCAAGGAACCTTTGTTTGCTAATCTCTTCCCCCTGTTGTTTTTCTGGTTTTCCTACAGCAGCCCATGGCAGATACAAGACACCTTGCAGCTGGCTGTGCTGGGGAGTGTCCCTCCTAACCCCTGCAATTCCAACAGGTTTGTACCTCTTCAAGGACTCTTGCTTTAATGCTCACCATAGCAACTCAGCTACGTTTCTTCCTCACTGTGTGAACGGTGCCTAATAAAGAGAAGCAGCTCATCTTACTCCATGGCTGGAGATGGAGGTGAGGCTAAACCCAGTGAGGTGGACCTGAGAAGATGGCTACTAGGGAAGATGCTGGGGCCACCACACTGCCAGTGTGCAGCTGCCTGCTCTGTTCTAATCCTAGATAAACCCACAGGGCTGATGTGCTGGGGGACCTGTGCTGGGGAGGGCAGAGGATGCTTCTTCCTTCCCCAGTTCTTTTTACATAGCAGGAGAGTGAAAATGCCTCTGACAGCTTTGCTCCAGTAGGTCTCTTCCTTTCAATGTAGGTCTGGAAACTGCAAGACAGCTGGGAAGAAGGCAATGGGTAAAGAGCCCAAGGGGTGTGTTAGAGCCACCAGAAGCAGAGGCACTGATTTTAAATCCTGGCTACAGTGGCATTAGCTTTTAATGACTTGGGGGAAAGGACAGGGGGACCAGCAGAGCCCAGGAGGGCTGTGCTCATCTCATCCCTGCAAGGCAGCACCTCCATAGCTCAGGGCAGAGCTTGTCAGCTTTAGCAAGGGGATTAGTCCTCCATTCAAAACCTGCCTGGGAAGTGGTGAAGAGAGAGAACAATTTTCTTCTATGTGAAGAGAACACATTAATACAGCAGCAAAGCATTGTATTCATTACAGGATTGCAGCTAATCTGGTGTCTCCTTTTATTCTGCTGTTGTTCTGCTCCTGTACTGCTTGCAGCAAGCAGACTGGGACAAAGGCAGAGTCAGGCTTCCTTACAACGTTCCTCAGATATGCTGGGGCAGGGGATTTCAGGGTGCACCTACATGCAAACCCCATCCTCTCCCAAATCAGCCTGCCAGCTTTGGGAAGGGTATGGGACACAGCAAAGCCTGACCTCCAATGTATTGAACGCACGATGCGCCGTGCCCTGACAACACCAGAGACCTACATAATTACCAGACTGAAAAAATGCTTTGCCTGGGATTTGCCCGTGTTAGTTTTTACCCTGGAGGAGCACAGAGGACCACCTCAAAGAAGGGACATATCATCACCATCATCACCACCAACCCTGAGCTGCCTGAAATTCTTTCCTGTCTGCACCCCTGGCCTGGGGCAGTAGACAGCTCAGGGAGAGTCAGGTTAAACACAACAGACACTCTGGCTCTTGCAAGTTAAGGGGATTGCTGCTCTAATAGCCCATTTGTTCCAAGTCCTTTTTCAGACCTATCAGTGAACTCTTCAGAAAACTAATTTAATTATCTCTAACATATGAACTCTTCCATCAGACCCTGGGGATGAGGTCAGTGCAAGGTAACGGGTGCTTTTGTGCAAAGCCCTGTCAAAAACCCAAGGGCAGGAGAAAAGCCCCCTCATTTTATGGTGGACTTGTGCAATCCAAGAACCAGGAGCCAAACCAAAAGCAAGTGCTTCCTACAGAGAATGCAGACAGGCTGTGCAGCTCAGAGACACCAGAAGTCACCCAGTCAAATACTGCAGCTGGATTTTAAATGGAGTGGGTAATTTTATGACCAATTGCATTTGTAGCTGGTATGTTAAGACAAGGGCAATGAAATCTTATGCCTGGGGGCACATATGGACCATTGCACAAGTCAGGCAGGCATCTGCCCCTCCCCTGCAAGAGAAATAGTAATTGGCAGGGACTGTAAGGACTGAAGTTGAAATTAGGTATTAGAAGGGACACAACTGGCACATGGATCTGGGGAAAGGGCAAATGGAGCTTTTCAACTTCTTCTCAACGGTAACAGTCCATAGCAGCAAATAATGATAATGAACTTGACAAATGCCTGGACCAGTAAGAGTTTTGTCCACCTTGACTGAATACAGCTGTCACCCCAGTAATGGGCTAGCTCTGCTCAGTAGTTCCAGGGATCCTTTTAAGTTTGGTATTTCAAGGGTTTATTTATAGTGGACCAGCCCTACTGCCTTCACAGGAGTTGGCAACTCTTACTGTTCTGAGGAGCATGGCTGGAGGCAGATATGCAAGAAGGATGAGCAGTGGGGTTTGTCCAGTGTGGCAGAACCAACTAGAGAGGTTAGGACACCATCTTCTTAAACCAAGCTGAGAACAGTCACTTGGGACCTGCTACCAGAAACCCCTCTGCTCTGCCCAACACCAGCCTTTGCCAGTCCATTGCTTGGCTCTGGCCAGTTACCTCCTCCAGCCTTCTCCTCTGCTCCTTCTGCTCCTCGATCCGCTTCTGCCGCTCGGCCAGCAACTGCCGCTTGTGCTCCTCGTTCTCCCGCTGCTGCTGCTCCAGCTGCTGCCGCCGCAGCGCCTCCGACCGCTCCTTGTTGGCCAACTGCAGCCGCAGGAAATCCCGCCGCAGGGTCGACTCCCCGGGCAGGTTTAGGATGGAGCTGCAGAGGAGAGAGGCATCAGAGCAGATCCTCTCCCACATCCTGAAACCTTCTGCCAATCTCACGTGATTTCCCGCTGTGGCCCCTCTTCCTTTCATCCCAACAGCATCCAAACACCTGACGGAGCTTGGGCACTGGAGCATGGAGGGGGTGAGGGGACCCCACAGACCTACCTCCTCATGGCTCATCATGAATTTATTTGCTAAAGGTTTCCTATATATTAAGTTTCTAACCCAAGCCTCTTGTGCTGCAGTGGCACACACTATATTTAGCTGCTCACAAAGCACATTTAGCATGAATCACTGCCAGCTATTAAAATACATTATCTCAGTGAAATAATAGAATAACCTGATACTAATTACTCTGAAAGATGTCACCAAAGAAAGTTCCAGCCCTACCGTGCCTGTAGCAGCACCAGGGAGGTTTCATGGTGAAAAGTTATATGGCAAGAGGGAGCTACACTTGGACGTGAGGAACCTTATTTTAAAGAGTCTTCTTTAATTTCACCTCACATTTTTTCCATACCTCAATACCCCCATTCCCATGACAGCACCTCACCACGCTGCAGATCCCACAGGTGACAGGGTACCTGATCTTCTTGCCTGGCTTTTGGATAAGATGATTTGTAACATCAGCTTATCCCCATGCACCATCTAGCAGAGGGAATATACTCTCTTCTGCCGGGAAGGGCACTCAGTGCTCAACCTGTCCTGTGTCCATTTCTAGCCCATATCAGCCTGTAACCCAAGCTGACCTGATACAGTTAGAGAGATATGAGTCCAGAAATGCAATGCTGATTCCTACCTGGGCTCTCCGGAGTCATTTTCCTCCTCCTCCTCCTCACTTCCACTGTACTCGTACTCTGTCTCATCTAGGAACAGAATTGCTCATTAGTTCCTTTTGCTAGACTCACTTATTTTTCCAGTGGTTGAAAACCCCAGAGCTCTGAAGGCAGAAGAGACAACTCTCTTTTCCATGTATGACCAAGAATAAGCATCATTATTTCTTTGTCTTTTCTGTATTTATAGGGGGCTGCAAGGCCAGGGAAGCACACATGGTCTCCCTGGGTGCTGGCACCTCACACACCTGTGCTGGCAGGCAGGAGAGCTGCAGTTCTGGCCAGAGCACCACGGGCAGCCCCAACAACCACAGGCACTTAATGCACAGATGAGGGGTGTCCATAAAACACAAATTTATCCCCATACAGCAACAGGGTTCTTGAAAGTGAGGTGCACCATAAGCTATTGAAGCCACAGGCACTGGAAGATGAGATTTCAGTATTGTTCTGAAGGCAGACTCCTCTCTCTCTAAACATACACTCTTCCTATGCAAATCCATGTATTTTCCAGGCAATGAAGACATCTACAAAAGAGCCCAACTGCAATGCTGTGCTACAGATTGTAATTTCTATTGGGATATCATCTTTATCAGAAGAACGGAATGATAGCAAAAGAAAGGTTTGCATTTCTCCAATTACTCTCCATCTCTAGGGTCCAACCCTCATTTGCCAGACTAAACACATTTAATACTTCACTGGGATCCCATTTTATTGTTTTGATTGTAGTGAAATCTATTACAAGAGGCTGGAAGGTACACATGAAAAATTGATACCACTACCAATAAGAAGAGAAATAGCGACATATTAATTTGCTGGATTCTACAAATGAGCTTTCAAATTAAAATTCAGTTCACAAGCAGCTGAATGCTTTAACAAGTTTTTCTGGCTATCTGATCTTCCTCTCAGAGCACTTTGATAGGGCCTGGAGAGTTCACTGGCAAGATTCAGTTTCATAGGTTATTCCTAGGCAATGGAATTGCTTTGGGGCAAGGGTCTTATCTAGAT